ATGTCATATATATAATGATTGCATCAATGAAAAATTATTATATTAAAATTAAAATCATTTATGTAAATGACGTATTAGTTTTTATTAAAACAGTTTTATAATTCAATAAAATGCCAATAGAGTACGTCGGGCAACGAATCATGTACACCATCTAGTAGAGAAATTAAAAATCTTAAAGTCGAAACTCAGAATATTTATTAAGATACCTGTGAAGATTATAGATCTGTAGGTAGTGAATTTACTTACTAAATACTTTACCTTATATTTGTTATAATTTATGATATAAATTCGTGTGAGTGTTTGTAAGAATTGAGATTTTTATTAAATAAACAACTTTTTAATCAACGTTTAACATCATATGAAGTAAGTTCGTTTAAATCTTGAAATTATTCATTGGTTCAATGCAAATAGAATTTTTATGTATAATAAAAAATTATGTTAAATATTTTTTAAAAACATAAACTTTTATTTATATTTTTTAAGTATAAGTTTCAATAATATAAATTTGTATAAATTTTTTTCGTAGTATTGATAAAAATAATGAGAGTTTAATTATGTTTAAAATATTTTATTAGTATAATTTCTCATTTATTACTTGTATTAACTGCTTTCGCTTTAGAAAATAGGACATGATTTACATTTATCATATATTTCTGAAAAATTTTTTTTGAAATAGCAATATATTTAAATATTTTTGTAATATATATGAATATTTTAAATGTGAAAAAAATGGAAAAAAGATATTTTAAAAAAATTTTGCGCAAATATTTTCAAATTGAAAATATAAATTTATTTTTAATATATAGAATGGCAGATACAGCATCAAGTAATTCAATGCACATGGAAAAAGGTTGGGGTGCTTTGAGGCAACATATCATTGACAATAAGATTAAAGCCGCATTATGGGTTACAAGACTTTTCACTATTATATTTACTATTGGTTATATTATTCAAATATTTGGGTATGTTATTTTAAACTTTGTTTTATAGATTGAAAAATTAAACTTCATATTTTATATTTCAGCAATCCTTATAATATTTATTATAAAATATTAATGAATAATGCAGCTACTAGTGCATTACGTCTTCATCAAAGAGTACCACATGTTCAATTTAATAGGCAATTTTTAGAACGTTTATTTGTTGAAGATTCTTGTCATTATTTATTATATTCTTTAATATTTCTTTATACAGCTCCTGTTACATGTATCCTTTTTAATATAATAAATAGAAAAATAAAATAATTTTTGATACAGGAAAATTTTTTTACATTTATAATAAGTAACTTAAGATTATTTTTCTTAAATATTATTAATTAGTGGTGTTAACTCCTATATTTTTATTTGCATTAATGCATTTTGCTAGTGATTCTCTCACATTGCTTGATGTAAGTAAAAAAATTTTGTTTTGTAATGCTGTGTCATCTTATTTAATTATATCTTTTTTAATTATATTTAATTATATATATAGTATGATGTGTGGCAATTATAATAATTATATTTATTATACTTATTATATTGTTATTTTTTACATCAGTGTTTAGGACAAAATAGTTGGTGGGGAGCACGTCTTTTAATATCATTAATAGAATTTCAATCACGAAATATTTTACGATTGTGTGGATTATTTGAAATAATTATTTTGCCATTCACAGTTCTTCTTGTATTTACGTATGTATCACATATGTATATATTAGTTTTTTAAATTTAAATTTTTTTAAATTAATTTGCAAAAATAATATTTTACAGGGGCCGTGCTAGTTTATTAACACCATTTATTTACTTCCAATTTTTAAAATTCCGTCTTGCATCACAAAGAAATCCATTCACTCGCAATGTTTTTTATGAAATTAGAAATGGTTTAAGTTCTGTCTCAAGAAAACCAACAGTGCCAATTATAATACGACAAATAATTGAAGGTCTACTGTCACTTACACAACAAATGGCTCCTCTTCGTCAGTAACTTTTCATTTTAAAAAGATGTATTAAATTATCAAAACAAATTTTCTAGGGTTTAGGGTCCATATAATAATAATTTCATATAATAAAATGACAAAATGAGTGCAAATGTAAACTACAAACTTATGATCTGTTACTAAAAATGAACACAAATGAAAACATAATTTTCTGAAATTTTCATTAATATTTGTACTCATTTTTGAATGCAGTAAATAATAACATTTTTGAAATTGTTTCATACAATTTATTAATAAATTAGATTTAGAATTAATTTACTAAACATTAAAATGCATATAAATATAATATAACTAAAATTTTAATATTTTATCGTACATAATATTTACAATAAGATTTTAATTATATGATTCTAAAGAATTTCATATAGAATTTCAATGAATATATAAAATGTGTTTGTTATAATGAATTTCTTTAAAATTTATTCTATATAGATTTTATAGATTCCATATTCATATTTCTTAATTTTTTGAATTTCAATATCTCTATTTTCTTATTATTCAATATCATGAAATTAACTCTATATTATGTACAAGAAATATGAAAATATTGATCAATATATATTGTATTTTATTTATTAAGATATGTTTTAAAATGTTTAATTATCATTTATATCGATCTTATTTTTTTCAGGAAAAATTTAATGTAGATTAATATGTTATAAACAATATAAACAATACAAATTTTCTATTATATAATATAAATATGGATTATTCCATAAAGCTTTTAGTAAAATAGTATTTAGTTAAGTATTACCTTAGTCCTAGCTAGTCTTGAAAAACATTTTAAGATAATTCTATTGGTAATGAATGTCATATACAAATCGTGCTAAATACTAAATTAAATTTAAATTCAATTGTGAAATGTTCATAAACATATATAAAAATTAATTTCTTTTTGTTATGTTGCATTTATAAAGAGAAATGTTCTTACTGTATTTCTTTCTTTACGTTGTTATTATATTAAAAAGAAAATAAAATATTTTCATCAAAATAAATCAAAATAAATATAAAAAAAAATAAAATATTTCTTTTAAAAGTTTATTTTCACTTTTATATAAATTACACTGCAAGTGGTATTGGTTGTGGTAAATCCTTTGATGCTTTTACTTCAGATGTTGGTTGCGAAGGAAAAACTTCATCTTTTGGCTCAACAATTGAAACAGAATCTGGAAGAGGTTTTTTAGGACCTGTCTTGCCATGAGGATCATATGGGAGCATGATTTTTACTTTGATACCAAGTACACCTAATATAAAACATTAATTTAAATTAAAAATTATTTTTATTTTTGATTATTTTTCATTGATTTATTGAACATACCTTGTCGAAGAAGTACATGACGAGTTGCAGTATTAACATATTCATTAGTTGGTTCTCCAGAATGAATCATCAATCCATCAACAAATTTCATTGATTTTGCTCTTTGTCCACGTAATTTACCACTAACAACTACTTCACAACCTTTTGCTCCTGATTCCATAATAAAACGAAGTACTCCATAACAAGCTCTGCAATTGTATAAAAATAATATACAAAATTTACCAGATAATAATATGATTGATACCTTCGTACAGCAAGACCTCCAATTAATTTAAAACGTAGAGATTCTGCTTGAGCAATCGCACAAAGACCACGTGTTGCTACTTTTTCGGCATATAATTCAATATTTTGTGTTTCTTTAAAATTAAATCGTTTTTGTACGACAGAAGTTAATTCTCGAATCCTACGACCTTTTTCTCCAAGAACACTTTGCGTATGAGTTGCCAGCAAGATAATTTCTGTACGATGGGGAGTGACACGTACTTCTACTCCCGAATATCCATCTTCTGATAGTTCACGAGTTAAAAACTCATTTAATTCAGCTTTAAAAACTCCATCTCCAACAAACTAAAAAATAAAATTATTCATTAATTATTATTCACTGTACAGTTTTAAAAGATTGCAAACTAACCTTAAAATTTGTTGATATAAACAAATTTATATAACGTAAAACATAACTTTATTAATCTAACTTGTTTAATCTAATGTAATAATATGTATAATATATTTCAATACTTATAAAAATAAAATATTTAAAATATATTTACAATATAAAGATTATGATTATATCAAATCAAAGAAAAACAGCTGAAAGTATCCATGTCATCTATAACTTTCACATGTCATTCATGCCTATTTTATAATAAAATACTTCTTATATATCTTCAATTATTATAATCGACATTATATTTTTATGAAATATTAATTATAAATTATAGAAATTCACAAACCTTTCTTTTCTTTGAAATGGAACGGTTATCCATGTTTTATGCTGACGATACAAAAGGCATCGAAAATCCAAAAGACTCAACTGGAAGCGGAAATGATGTTTGTATGTAGCATCATATTAGTGTTAAATAAATATTTATGATAAAAAAATATTACTTAAAAATATTGATTATTTACACTACTTTTTTATAAAAATAGTTAATATTTTTTAAATGAAAAAATATGAAAATTAATCTTACAATTAATATGTTACTAGATTCGTAAGTATAAAAGTTAGAAAAAGCACTAGATATTTGAAATATATATTACACATACATATACACACATTCATAATACAATGAAATATTGAAGTGTATTCTTTAGAGTATTAATTTTTAAATAAATATGCAAATCATTAAATGATAAATTTATTATTAGATAACCTTTACACCGATATATACACCTGATGTGTATCTATTTTATACATAAGAAAACAGATATATTTGTTTAATTTTAATGTATATATATAAAAAAAAAAAATAAAACAATAATTTAAATTTAATAAAAATCGATTTAAAAATGTTATAAGATAATAAATAAATATTATGAAATTCTATGTATTATATTTATTATAATATAACTTTTTTTATTTGAAAAATATGAAAAATATTGACCGTTATTACAAGACTAATTAGATTTACTTCTTACGTCCCTGATGCTATCAAAACACACATGCATATCGTAATACATCTTTATATGATTATTATATATGTATATTCTATATTGAGTCATGAAATGAAGATACACTTGTGTATGCATTTGTTGCTTTACTGTGCTTCGGAATTATGTCTTACTCTTGATATGGAGTGGAAAACAATAGCATTTACAATATTAGTTGTAAGTTTGTGTTTTTTGGCAATACCAATTAAGGTGGATCCAGATAATAATGAAGATATTAAACTTTTTCAAAATTATGTTGTTCGCTATAATAAATCTTACAGAAATAATCCATCAGAATATGAAGAAAGATTTAAACACTTTCAGGTAAGCCATGGAAAATTGCTATTCATAAAAATATTACATAAACAATTCAATTTCACACTATATATTTTTATTTTTAAAAATTTCATTCTTGTTGACAGATAATAGTTTTAAAAATTTCCCGCGTTCTTATATATATTCTTCGTTTTTATTTTTATTTATTCTATTTTCCAAAATATATTTCCAATGATATTAGTTAAGATATAATATATAGCTTGTTTTGATAATATAATATATATTTCGATGATATAATTTGATATATTTACACAATTGATAATTGATTATGAAATTTAAAGATAATTATCAAGAAATTGAAATTTCTATAATACTCATAATAAAACATATATACAATATTAAATATACAATATAAAATATTATGAATTATTTTTTGTGAAATTACATAAAAAAATAATTAATTTCTTTTATATAATTCTAATAGATTTACAAATATTATTTTTATTGCAGAGATCGTTGCAACATATAGAAAGAATGAATAGTCTCCGATCGTCACAAGAAAGTGCTTATTATGGACTCACTGAATTTTCTGATATGTCGGAAAACGAATTTCTGCTACATACCCTCTTACCTGACTTACCAATAAGAGGTAAGAAATAGAATCTTATGAAAAAAGATGGCTATTTGACTTTTTTTTTTTAATTTTTATAAATTAAAATGTTTTTATGTATTTTATCATTTTAAAAAGATTGTAATTAATTTCATTATATTTACATGAATAAATAAAACAATATAAATATTTATTAGAAATAAATAAACAATTTGTTAGGAGAAAAACACATGAATGCATCGTATCATCGCAAGCATCAAGTATCTACCGATCGAATGAAAAGATCAATTAATATACCTTCAAGATTCGATTGGAGAGATAAAGGAGTAATAACTCCAGTACGTAGTCAAGGATCTTGTGGTGCTTGTTGGGCTTTTAGTACTATTGAAGTTATTGAATCAATGTTTGCAATAAAAAACGGCACTCTACATTCTTTGAGCGTACAAGAAGTAGGAAGTATTTCATATATATTTTAAAATTTAATAAAAAATAGAAAATATCATTTTTTAATTTCTTTGATTGATTAGATGATTGATTGTGCGAAAAATAGTAATTTTGGATGTGAAGGAGGAGATATATGCAGTTTACTCTCATGGTTATTAGTATCAAAAGTTCAGATACTTCAAGAATCTATTTATCCGCTTATAGGAATGACGAGTACATGTAAACTTGGAAAGTAAATATATCGTAACAATTATATTTGAATAATAATATGTGTAAGATCATGATTAAGTAATATATATTGTTTTTATAGAATGACAGATAAAACATTTGGTATAAAAATACAAGATTTTACGTGTGACAGGTAAAAAAATTATGTTACTTATAATTATATGATATTGATAGTTTTAAATGATGAATTATTTTTAAATATTCAATTGATAAAAGAATAATATCTAATATAATTATTTAAAGATTTTTTTATATAAGTTAATTATTGACATTCTTATATCATTTATGCATTGATATTATTGAATTTATACGAAAAATAAAAATATATATAAAAAATAAAAATATATTTATACGAAAAAAAAAAATCTTAGATTTTTTTTCATTAATCTAATTATTTGAAATTAAATTATATTAAAAATTTAAATTAAATTAAAATTTCTACAAATTTTTAACTTATTTATTCATCAATATTTGAAAATGGTCTATCTATTGTCTGCTATATTTGCCGTTAAGAAGATTAAAGGTTTAACGGATTTTAGTTTCGTAGATGCAGAGGATGAGTTATTGATAGCACTGGCCACTCATGGACCAGTAGCGGCAGCAGTAAATGCTTTATCCTGGCAAAACTATTTAGGTGGAGTAATACAATATCATTGTGATGGTTCTTTTGATAATCTGAATCATGCTGTACAAATAATAGGATATGATAAATCAGTTGCCGTACCACATTATATTATAAAAAATTCATGGGGATCAAATTTCGGAGATAAAGGCTATATGTACATAGGAATAGGCAATAATTTATGCGGTATAAATTTTTTAATTTGTATTTACATATTTTAGAAGTTTATCTTTTTTATATCAAATATTTTTTTGTTAATAGGCATAGCAAATCAAGTTTCATCATTGGATACTTTTTAAGATATTTTTATAATTCATTAATATAAATGAAAATACTTGAAGAAATATTTATATCAATTTTAAAATGTATATAAATTTATAAATGTGTTCTTTAATCGAGATGAGAAATGACAATAATATTAATAATAATAATAATATATATTAAATTATAATTCCAATATTTGTTATACAATTGAGAATATTTACTTTAATATTGTACTGTATATTTATCTCTATAGTCATTTACATATTTTTTTTATAAATATTTTAATAATATAGTATAATAAAATAAAATAAAGATTTATTGTCGACACTATTCTGATGCCTTTGATATTCCTATTATTATCTTAATACTTACGTATTCTGATATTTAAGGTATTATCAAATTATAATCATCATTTCTTTTTATATCCATTTTACATTTAAAATTGTTTTAACTATCATCTGAATTCCAACCATTGTAGGAAACGGACAACATTGATTTCATTTCTTTCGTTAATGGTGGAATCATATGACGAGGTATTAAAAATGTGGATAGATTGAATAAGTCCAAAAATACTTTGTACCTGTCACTATTGATAAAAAATCGAAATTATTGGTGAAATATGTCTTTTATAATAATGTTATAACATTTTTTATAAATATATGATATATTTCTTTAACCTTAAAGTTGATTTTAAATATTGATATCCTGAAGATCCTCCGGTTCCGAGTTGTTGAGATCCAATCATTCTTTGAACCATTAAAACATGATTATCTAATGAACAAAGAAACAAATTATTCATATAATAATACATTTAAAAATTTTTCAAAAATCGATTAAATAAATTTTTCTTTTCTTACACCTCCATTTAGTAATTAAAGAATCAATGTCCATTAATGCGTTCAAAATTTGGTGAGGTTGACTAAATCTTGGTTCATCTCGATATAATGTGATTAATACTGCTCCTTGAAGAGCGGCATACGCGAATCTTCTTTCTCCTCGAGATACAAGTGCATTATGAAGAGATTCATTGAAGATCGTTTCGAATACTGCTTTTCGAGAATGTACATTTGCTAAATGATAATTTCTGAGTTGCTCCTTTGTATATTTCTGTGAAAATAATAAGAAAAATTAACAATTTTTTAATAAAATTATTCGTATATTCAAAATTTTTGAAAAACACAATTACTCGAGCAAGTTGTTCTTGTTCGTCGAGCAGATTTTCTACAGATCTTTTATATTTTTCCCAAAAATCGAAATTGTGAGTTTCAAGACCTGGTGTTCTTGCTAACCATTTTTGAACAAGAGAACTGAGACTAGGTTCTTCTTCTGAACGTTTAATCGCCTCAATAGCTTTTGGATCTCTTCCGAACACTTTGGTATAATTTTGATTATACTTAACTCTATGCTCTTGTTTTACACCTAATTTATTCTCTAATAAACGAAATTGTAGCGATTGAAAACCTGAGGCTGGACATAGATAATCTCTGAATGCCATAAAATCCAACGGTGTCATAGTTTCCAAAATTGTCACTTGGTCCACTAATAACTGAAAAATATAAGTAAATATATTAATTTAAATTATTTAACTTTTCAATAAAGAAATGTTAATATTCGTATCTTCATCATCATTTTTCATTAAATTATATCCTTTAAGTTTTATTATTGTCTTTATATATAGACAGTAAATCGATTTTACGAAGTCTAAGGAGAACCGCATTCGCATTTATATGGTTGCCACACTCATGCTTTACAACATAGGAAAGAAATAATCGCTAACGCGTAATGTAGAATTAATCATTTTTTTCTAATTCTTTATATGATTAAATATTATGTTATTTAAAAAAAAAAGAGATCAAAAGTAAATAAAAATTTTATCATTATAATTGTAAGTTTAAATTTTTATTTTGGTAAGTTAAATATTTTGTTTTAATTTTTAACAAAAAATATAATTTTTATACGATTGATATAAAAAAATAAAATTGTTGCATTAAATTCTACTTATTTAAGATTTATTAAATCCTGCTACAAGATTTTTTTAATAGAACAAGAGAAGAGAATATGACGACCACACCTGGATTCTGTGGCATGGAAAGAGTGCCATTGAGCTTGTTACCTAACTCATCTACATATGTTGGTACAAGGTGTCACATATCATCCAGCAATATTAAATTACTTAGATCTCACTATTATTTTTGTAGTTTTCACAATTTTTCTTATTTCGATAAGAAAAAGAAAAATAATAATAATGAATAAATATCGCATTGCTAAGTACCTTGACCTATTTGACAATGTATATAAAAATATTTTTTATTATAAATTATGAAAAATATACAATAAAAAGTTTTAAAGAAGTTTTTTAAAATAAATAAATCTTTTACAAAAAATAAAAGATTAACATATTAATTTTTAATATTTTTTTTCATCATTCTGTTTTTTAGTAAATAAAGATTATTTGATAGATTAAAAATTTATTAATAGATTAAAAATTAAAAGTCCAGTGGAAATAATGTTTCTTTAAATATGGTGAATTGTACATTATGATATTTTAAAAATTTTGAATTTTTTTTTTAATAATAGATTTTATTTAATTATATTTTATTTGTTATAGAAAAAATGTAACGTAAGATTTCAGTGATATTCGAAATTTGATTAAAGCACCGCGCGGAAATACGCTTGTCATAAATTTCAATATTCTAATTGGCTTGAGATTAAAGGTCGTTCACATTTTTTTCTATCATTGTCATTGTCAACATATGATCACTGATTAGCGGCCTTTTTTTCTAGAGCATAGGATTATTGAGTGATTACTGTGTTCTCTTTACGCGGGAAAATTATTTATCATTATTTTTTTCGTTTTTATCGTATATTCTTTACTCATTTTTTTTTTTTTTTATTATAAAATTTATTTATTTTTATTTTAAGAACGAAATTTTAATTTTGCTTACTTTTAAAATGAGAACGATGCGATTCAACCTTTTTAAAATTTCTAGAGTTCTTGATTCATCTAGAACTTCGGAGATTCTGTTTTTCTGAATGGAAGTATGACAGTTAGAACCATTCAAAGTGCCACGGTTGCTTGGTTCGGAGTTAAAGAGTGCTCTGACTGAATCTAATTCGTAGATAATTTGTTTGAACCAAAGTTCGTATGCTATGAAAATATAGAAAATATAATTGATCAACCAATAATTTTATCAAATTATATTTTTTTATTTCAAATAAATGAATAATATATTAAAACTACATTAGTAATAGAAATAAATTGAAAAAGATGATTCAATCTCTATTATGTAACATGATTTATGTTTATTGTCTGTTATAAATTTTTAATGATAAAAATTTTTACCCTGATGAGTGACGATAAAAAGATGTTCATCATGCACTTCTTTGTTATATTCAGCACTCAATAACCTTTGTGCGGTTAAAATTTTATCCAAGCGAAGGTATTCACCATATAACATACCTTCAGCCAATTGATCGTTCTCTTGATCATGATCTTCCCTAAGAATAAATCATTACAATTTATTCAAATCATTATCAACAAAAATTATATAATTTAAAAAATATATATAAAATAAATATATATAACGATTAATTTTATCTATTTAGAAATAAAAAAAATAATTTTAAAACAAATAAAAAATTTCATCATTTGAATATACTGTTATCAAGAATTATATAGATTTTGATAAACAAGAAAATATTTTTAAATGATTACTTACGCAATACCATCCGATAAGGGACAAGCCATATTTTTCCAATTTTTGTACTTTTTTGAAAATAAAACGTATTTCGAATTTAAATTAAATTAGTATATTATTTTTTAATTAAAATTATTACACAGAACAATAAATAAATATTATAGTAAATTATAGCACTAATTATTCACAATAGATAAACTCTTTTTCAAGATAACATTTTCTGCATTTCAATAAATGTCATTTATTTAGACGAATAACAAAAAGAGATACATGTTGTTAGCGAGGTGGTTGAGACACTACTGAAAACAGAATGATCGCCGCGACTTGCGAAACTGTCCCTCTTATATTTCTAAGACTGAGAAACATATGAATGAACGATTGATGATTATGTTTTCTTTATATGGTTTTTTAACAGAGCAATTAAAAATAATCTGATGATTTTTATTACATAATTTTATTTGGATTTTATATAATTTAATCGCCTAGAAATTGAAGTTATAAAATTTTTCAGTCGATAATTCGATTCAATATTATATGTACTTTTATTTTTCTAATTACAAAATATCAATTTTCGAATGATTGTTGAATGATATATAAGGTTTTATCTTGATAAGTATGTTTTTTTTTTATTTAATTATCACGAATGATAATTAAATTGATTTTACTGATTTTGTAAATGAATTGAATGAAATTTATCTCAAGATAAGATCTTTTGAAAGATTAAAATTTTATTGTTATATCATTATTTGAAACAAAAATTATAAATGCAATTTATTTTTTTTAAATTATTAATCTAATGCGAAATTGATAGATGTCGTGGAAATGATATTTTTTAATCAATGTATTAGGACAAAGTTTAAAATCCGAACATAATAATATTTTTAACATTACAATATTTATTTATACGAAATATAAGAAAGATAGATATAAATAATAATATCAGTTGTAACAAATAAATATACTTGATCAATCTTCTATTTATTTCTTCTATTTTCTCTTTCTTTGCATCATTTTTTATCTGTCGATAAAATAGATAGTGATAAAACCGTTATATCTTTTAGTCATAGATCATAGATGCGTAATGAAGATGAAAGATGTCGCAAGTAGTACAATTGATCGTCAAATTTTGAATTTAAAAATAAATTATTATATTCGTATTATTTATATATTTAATAAAATTAATAAAAATAATTAAATATTTTCCTAAAATAATAATTCTGAAAATTATTAAAATATTATTATGTGATCTTTAATTTTTTAAAATACTTTATTTTTTCATTTGTTATCTCATTAATGTATACAATCATGATCATAATATCGACCGTTTTCATATTCGCAAATGCATATTACGTAATGTTGACCCTTGTGATCATTTACACAATTATTTTATATCAGAAATGCTCTCGAAATTATGCACGATTATATCTATTATTGATATAAAATTCATTGACATAGTAAAAATAATGCAATAGATGTAACATTTTTAATATATTTTTTTAATATATAAAAATAATTACTTTGATATTTATAATATAATTTTTTATTTTATTTTATTAAAATAAATAAACGTGCATAAAATTTCATATTCATATTTTCAGTAAAACGAAAACTAGGACACAATTGAAAATTGTGAATCAATCATTTTGTTAAAATGAATTCAGTTTAATGATTTTTGGTGTTTTGTGATAACATTAAATATTTTTAAGTATGCGATAATCTATATCCAAGAAATTAAATTACCTTTATTGATACATTAAATTAGCTACGATCGAATATCGAAAATTTATAATGCATTTATGCATATACAAGATAATTGTCAAGTCGTTATATAATAAATATATACAAATATAATTTTTTTTTTATGAAAAAAGTTCTCTTTTAAATTCTACATTATTGTAACAATAATCAAATGTTTAATTTCATATTTTTAATTTCATTAATTTATTTGTTTATATAAACATAATTGTCCAATTTTACGATACATTTTTTGTAATTTTCCAAATAAAATGAAAACTATCATCAACAGAATAAACAAAAAAAGAAAAATACACAACAAGGAATAAACAGAAAAAGAAAAATACATAACAGATTTGTTTATCTAGTTAGCTTGAATCATATGATGCAACACTTTAAATTCCGTTTCAGCAAGAACTAGCATTTCGTAATAAGTACTTAGAAGTAAAAATAGAATTATACATCTTTCGTACAAAAAAAAAGATACTTTTCGAATTTATTGTTTTATGCCAATTCACTGATTTTAATGAGTTTGAAATTATTATTGAAATTTATTGTTATTTTACACATATAATATTATATGGAAAGAAGTGTACAATAGGAATGGAAAAATAGATATCGTATCGTAAGTTTTTTTTACTCATTATATAGAGAGATTCTGAACTTTGCATATTATGATATATTAAATTTACTTTATACGAAAATATGAAACAACTAGTTTTATTTAAGAAAATAAAACATCTAAGATTTATTTACTCTTGCAGAAAGTAAAATATGTTGAAAATCATTCTATACTTTCGAAATATCAGTTCACTAAGTCATGATACTTTTATAATTGCACATGTGATTGGATTTAATGTTGGGTTTGATATCCCGAAATTGATACATTAAAATTAAAAGTACTTATCGAAGAAATATTTAAAAGTGATTAAGATATTCGATATTTCCATTCGATTGAATTATTTTAAATTCAAATTTCTAATTATTTTTAATTTCTTTGATTAACATTCCAATGTGTCGAATGACGATAACAATTTTATCGTTTTGGACAGATAATCAATCAATTAATATTTAAAAAAATTTTCTAAAATCAATCTTATTTCTTTGCGCAATAATTAATATTAATTTTTGTTTAGGCATACTATCTCTTGCTACGAAGAAATACGCGACAGATGATTCCGACAGATGATATCCGAAAGATCTATAGAAACACTGTTCAATTGATTTCTCTTTTTCTCAAACATGCGAAATTTTTCCAACTTCATGAAATCAAGTGAATGAAGAAAATTGTGTAAGTGATTCATTTCTGTTCTATATAAGCGTTTAAAGAGAAAAAGAAACTTCATGCATATACATATAAAATTTTCCTCATCTTATGTTATTTTATCCAATAATGTTATCCAAAAATGGTTTCACCATTATTTGAAAAATGCACAAAGACAACAGAGAGTTGATAATATCTGTAAATTTCTTAAATTTATTATTATCATAACGCATAATTGGACAAAAGAATTTTATCGGTGCAAATTTGATCCTTTAAATGTTTAAACAGAAAGGAAATATACGTATTTTACATTTACATGATTCACGTATTCTTATCGATGGTATTACTATGGACGAACGCGTTTGATCAAACGATCGATTAAATGCGAAAAGAGGTTGATGCGATTCGTCTTTCCTGCGGATACATACGGATAAAGCATTATGTGATACCGAGACGAAGTTTCTTAAGCATTCAATGTACTTTTTACGACACCTAATAAAGGCAAGAAGTCGCTACATTTAAATATGATTCCAGAAATTTGAAAGCTCGAGGTGTTTGTGCTGAAAATCTATCGCACCGACAAAAATCTAAGAAGATAAAAAAATCTATTAACCTTTATTCATTTTTCTTTCTTTTTTTATTTCCCTTGCTTTTATCGTGTCACAAAGCGATATACTTGGAGAATTTCAAACTTCCGACGAAAAGATAAGGATCAAAAGACAATCAAATTCACTCTAATATATTCTTAGAAGACAAAAATGTGATCCCTATACTGTTGCGAATATTCGTTGTACGACTGCTACCTTGAATTTATTCCATTCCTACTAAAATAAATGTCGCAATAAGTTTAGGAGTTACGAACAATTTTATGAATATTCTCTTTCTAGAAAGTCGCGAATGTGAATCCATATCCATATTCAAATAGTGAAGTTTGGGAAGAAACGATACGAAATTTTACAAAAGGATACAATGTAAAATGCTTTAGATATTTCAATAATTTATTTATTTCAACAAGTTATTTTTTTCAAAAAAAAAAAAAATATATATATCGTTATATCGAATATATCGTTGGTTTCTATCGCTAAATTTTTATTTTATATTTTAACTCTAAAATTATAGGGAAAAATCTATAATATTTATATTTACCAATGTCATTAAAGATTTTCTCTCACATCTTCCTTTGATGAAACGAAGAAAGAAAAAAAATACCTAATCCTTCGAATAACAGTGCATTATTCGTAATTAACGTGCAGTAACGCTCGAGCGAATTTTTCGTTTCACTGTTGTCAGTATATAGTGCATATCACTCAGATAGATGCTTCCCGGAAGGGTAGATAACTTGCACACTGATTAATATGCCCTCTTTTGTATCATTTTTTTGCATTGTTATTTTTTTTTCGGCTCGTGATTCGTAGCGATACGGATTAGACATTCATTCCAGCGAGCGATACGTAGATATCCAAGGAGCAATGATCGCCAACGATAAAGAAGTTTCTGTTCTTCATCGTTGTCGTCGAGGCAACATCATCAAGGACGTTGTATCCTTTGCCCGTTCACACACACACACGTGTTCATTATGAAACGAGATGTCCTGTTTGCTCTGGACATATTTACACAACGAATTTACAAATTGTAAACGTTTAATCAGAATCTTCTATACAATTTCGTAATCAGTGAGAATGGTATCCATCCACTCGATTATTATTCCAAACGTTTCATTTTCATCCCACTTAATAGTTGATCTAAGTAGAAAAAAGATCGGTTTTGAAGTTTTAAATTCCGCGAAATTATTATCCGATATTACGAGAAGGGAAGGAAGAAATAAGGAAGATCCGTTGAATCATTAAAAAAAAAAAAAAAAAAAAAAAAAATATTTACACGAAGATGTCAAATTTGAATTAATTCACGTAATCTTTGCGCGTAATGGTTGACATTGAATTTAATCGTGGAACGAATACTTTTCTTATTTTCTTTTTTCATTTCTTATTCAATCGTGCCTTCTTTTTTCTCCTTATACCGATCTCGATACAGCATACATTATTTATAAATAGCAATTTGCACGAATTAATGCTTCTTACGTATCGATAGCTTTTCTAGTTAACGCTTTTCTAACATATTCGCCTTCTAACATATTTGAAACTAACTTCACGCATCATATAACGGATGACAATGGAATATTTTTCATATTTTTTTTTTTTTTCGTTTCTTTCTCCAAAAATAGGCGCGAATCAACGTTCTTGCTGATTCTCCAGCAATCTCTACGTCTGATTCCACAATATCGAGACTCTCGCGTTTCGTCAAAAAGATCTTGTATTCGATTGTTACTTTCGAAGAAAG